GCTCAGAACCAGTTGCTGGTTCAGCTCCTGGGTTGCCGAGGGACCGTGAGATCTGATTCGGCGCCAACGCTTCGGCGTTTACTTGCGCCGGATCCCAGTATGGCTTGAGCAAGCCCACGTAAAACACCGGGTGGGTGCGCATCCGTTTTGGACTTTCTCCTCTTTTTCGGTGTTTCATCATCTTCATAAATATTGATATTCTGATACCTACAAATGCACCGTACATTTCGAAACCGTTTGCATGGTTACAACTGTAAATGAATTAAAGGATACGATACTTTACGTAAATCAGTTTTGAACTGTGCATCTATATTTGTGATCACTTTTTTCAGACGCAGTTTACTTGCATTTATGTTTGCTGTCCGTAGCGACATTTAGGCAAGGCTGTATCCTGTGTCGGTGTGCCGGTAGCTGTAATATCACTATTGTAATATGGCACTGCTTTAACTTCTTCACCAGACTACTGGGCGGAAAAACAAATCTGCGAATAGTGAAGAAGTTTTTTCGAGATTCCCAGACTCAATAAAATTTATCCCACTTTTGCTTGGCATTTATGAGATTTTTGGACCTTCACTGTAATTTTCATTGCAACGCGTCTCGCTCAATGGATTTGTGGCAACGATGATGGACAATAATGAATAATTAGTTTACATAATTTAATACGGTCTGACGAGCAATATGACGAGCATCTCACCCACCATTATTACGGGCGTTTGCATTGCTCATGATCTACACCAAGGCCAAAAATTTCAGAGTGTACAGTAGTGCGATTAAATTAAAGTATTTGTTTTACCATAATAGTACGGTAAGATGAAGTTGATTAATATTTGTGCTTCAGGGGTCTGCAAGCACTGCAACAGTGGAAATGGGAAATTGATGATCCATGCTCGCATCGAATAAAGGATTTGCGGGTGATGCAACTGCTTTTACAGCTGTCTCAGATGCTTTAGAGGCTAATCGTGCATCTCCTAATTCCTGATTTAGTTGCTCCCGGTATTTGACCTGATCTGCTTCACTCGACGAATCCTTTTCTCGAGAATTTTCGACGATATCTCTCGTCGATTGGTCAGCAACTTCTTCTTGTTTCTGCTGCTTACTGCTGGTAGTTGTGGTTACTAAATTATCATCATTCCGTCGTTGCGGCTTCACTGGTAAGATACACACAAGTATAAGATAAAGGCAGTTGCAAAAATACTTACAAAACAACTTCGTCTTACAAAAAGCATCTGTGGCTGCCTTGGCTTCTTTAGGAAGTTGAACAAAGCCTACAGAAGCGCCAATGGTTTTTCGACAAACAGATGGGAGGCGATGGAGATAACCATGACCAACTTCAGCCCCTAATATACCTTCGCCTCCCCATCGCTCGGTCGGGACAATTGACACGATGCGAACCTGGTCCTCCAACGAGCTATACAGTTTCACTCCGTTTAGTAGTATGATCATGTCCAAAGAAGGTATACTTACTTATATACATAGCATTGAAATGATCCATCCAATGCGTCCAAAATCTCATCATGCAGATCCTCTGCATCCGCAAAGACACGCTCAGGCGTGCCTAATAGATAGTCAGAATCAGCTCGAAGTCCCGCACGCTCGGCTGGCGATGATTCTGCTACGCTCTGCAATGCAATATTGGTAGTTATTGTGGCAATGTGAAACTACCTTCACTTAGTGTGGCAAAAGTAGCGCCGTGTGTACGTACAAGTATGTGCAATACATGATCCTCGGCACCTTCATAGGAGTCAAAGCGAATGGTCACGCCAAGCAGACCTTTTCCCGGCCACTTTCGACTGGGTGTAAGCTGTAATTCTCGCGTAGTCTGCGCCTTCACATTGTACACTTTCAGCTGCATAGGCCGATCCTCACTATGGGCAATCAGCTCCATAAATGTAGCATCTTTTGTGTCCTGACAGCACAATTAATTTGATGTCAAACGATCGAATTCAGAATACAAGATGCCCAGCCTACCAGCCGAATGCCATTTGCCTCGAGGATAAAGTCAAAGAAGCTCACAAAGCCAGCATCAGATGCCGGTGACAGCTCCTGTATGCCGATGACACGAAAACCATAGCATTTGCCACCCTCGACAGTGTTTTCATCTTCGTCACTAGAGCGAGCTACTTCACCCAGCGACGAGCTTTCGTTCCCCATTTTTGAACTGTATTTACGAACTTACTGAATGGGTTGTACAGCGTTAAGTACGATCAAAATTAGTCATAGTTCTCGGATAAAAAGTCTCCGCACATTGTGCTAGGAAGAACGAAAGTTATTGATTGAGATATGCTTTTCGTCATAGAACAACTAGTTTTAAACCGTACAATCTACATAATATCTAGTTGAGTCGGAGATCAGAATTATTAGCATATATCTGCTCAACGCACAAGGGTATACGACTGCACGCGGTGCAAGTCACAGCCCCTCATACTCATACAAGAGGTGTCAGAATTATGAGCTATTCATCACTTATCCACTCCAGACAACAGTCACACAAAAAGAGTCGAGAGTTCCTCAGGAAAAACAGCCTATTTTTATCCTCATTTATCTTCGGACGGTAATTCCAAATAAACATTGGACATCACTGGAACCTCCTTGTAAAGGATCGACCTAAGAGCCACCTGTACTCTGATACTATTTATTGTGTCTGGGCACAATATGGGAAATGATGAGTCCATGCTGAGCCATTTGCCACCAATAGTTATGTTATGCACTGATTGGTTGAAGCAAACCGTAATTACGCGTGATAAACATATTACAAATTTGACCTCAGAGTAAATACATCTATCACTTCGAAGCGTAAATGGCGGCTATTTCGATGAACATATTAAACTTGTTTTAATGCTACAAGTGCAAGATGATATACGTGTCCAGTTCTTCCATCGACAAAAGAGAATATTAGATAGAGGTCGGACACTTCCCTTGAGACACGTTCCGCTATCGATTCCTACGTGAATTGCGTGCACAAAACGCGGTTTTTATAGGATGTGTCCCGGATACTATCAACATTATGTTAAGCAGTTCCACGCTGAGCGTTGATTTTGTTGTCATTGAACTGATTCTAGACTCTGTTGCATATGTATGCAACACATGGTAATATGTTTACGCACACAAAACATAAGATGCAAAAGAACGCAGACCGGCACTAATTCGACAGTTCAGCTTACATATGTTGCACTGATTTAATTTCAAGATGTGAAACCTAAAGAGGTATTGTCTCAGTACATCTGATAAGTCCGTTTATGTATGCGCAATACTTCACAATGCTACAATGTATCCAAGTGTTCGAGTGTCTCTGCTCTGCATCGTCTCCAGTCGCGCAGCGGTTTCAAATCGCGCGGAAAAGCCACTCAGGCTCTTGAGCTCACTGTTGCGCAATAGCGACAGCCGCAACGACAAATTGATACATACCAACCTAATTAAACACGTTCTGCGAACGTGCCGATTAGCTTCGATACCCGACCTCAACTTGAGTTTTTCGCAGTTCAGGATAGTTTCAGTGGTGTTGCGACTTTGTGACTTTCAGTGTGTTCTGATGGGTATTTTTAGCGATGTTGATTCAAGATTCCCTTCATCATAGAGCTGGTTCAGTCTAACATATGCGATGACTACATCTTTCACTTACATCTTGGCGCCCACCAGTAAGAAGACACAATGATGCTTGCTATGGTATGTTATAGATACACCGCAATTCGTCACCAGTCATTCGCGAACACAGGCTTCTATAGAAGCTCAATAATCACACGTGAACGCACTGATGTTCAAAAAACCGATCCCTCTACCAATTTTCAACATCGTCCGTTTGACCTTTCAAGAGTGATGATCACACTGCGACAGCCGGTTTCCTCTCCGTACTCTCGTCACTGGATCATTCACGATTTTGCTTGCATCCCCGTGCGTAGAAACATCTCACCTAATGAACGTTATGGCAGCTAAACTTGACGACTATGTGATCCAGAGGCGGCTTTCACCTGCTCTATTTGGCGATGTGCTTTTGTGTCAACACAAGCCGACTGGTGACCTTGTGGCCGTAAAGCGCGTGCTACAGAGCGCCGCTAATGCACAGCTCACGTTGGCCAGCAACAAAAAAGTGCGGGAGAATGTAGCACTTGAGCGTGCGCTGTACCACCAGCTTAATCGCGTAGGTGGTCATCGCAACCTTCTTAAATTACGCGATGAAATTGAATACGATGGCTACCTATACCTCATCTCGGACTTTTGTGCTCGCGGCGAGCTGTACGAACTCGTGAGTTCCGCTGAAGACGGCAGATTGCCGTTGCTTGCCATTACCAAGTACATGCGGCAGATCGCGAGTGGAGTCCAGTTCTTACACGCTAACGGATTTGCGCACCGCGACTTATCACTCGAAAATGTTCTCGTGTCAGATGATGACCAGTGCCACGTGTGCGACTTTGGGTTAGCCGCCTCAACGATTACGCCTAGCCACGAAACGGTGGGAAAACTTTTCTACATGGCTCCCGAAGTGCTGGAAGGCGTGCAATATGACGCCACTAAGGCCGACGTGTGGTCACTCGGCGTTATGCTTTTTATCATGTTGATCGGTGCGCCACCTGTTGAAACTGCATCATTATCGGACGCCAGATACAGACTCATCACGAACAAGGGGATCAGGAAGCTTATCGATCGGTGGGGACTCACAGACGATCTACCTGTTGCTGCTGTTGATCTTATTAGTAAAATGCTTGAAGTCGACCCACAGCAACGTGTGTCAATGGCTGACGTAGTTGCTCACCCATTTTTATTGCGCTGTAGCGCAATCGCAGCCCCGCAGCCCCTTATTGATCCAACATCTTTGTCGCGTGCTGTTTCACCCACTAAACAAACTTTACAGCCAGCAATATTGTGTCCAGCGGTCCCACCTACGTCCATGCACTTGACATGCCCCGAGCATGACAGCACCCAGCGCAATGGCTACCGTTTGCTTTTGTTCAAAATTCATCACTTCTTTTCGCGTCGCCAGAATGGTTGCGTAATGACCATCAATCGCAGTTCAAGAACATCCAAACGAGCGCAGATGAAGCGACTTTTGAACGCTACTTGAAGGTGGCTATGCCGTCGACTTCGGATTTGCCGAGTTCGTGGCTGTCATTCATCGGCCACACCATAACATCCTGTCCGATGCGTATGAAGTCCGCAGGACGTTAGACAGCTTGTGTATTTATTTATATCTCTGTATCACCGTATAAATTAAGAAGAGATGCAAACAAGTAGGACATGAACGCATTAAAATAGACCCACTCATCATCTAGAATTTATATCCGTTGCTTATTTAACGCCAGACGTTAGTATTTCAAAACCGAGATCGCCATTAATGGCGATAATTAACTCATAGTACAATTTTCTAGACGGCCACAGAAGTCCTTTTTGATGCGATGAGTTCATCCGTCGTATTATTAGAAGTCCAAAGCTGAAAAGTTTGAGAATTTTGGACATAGTAACTGGTATGGTCGTCTTCGTTTTCATACAGACGATTGCGCGCTTTGCAGTAGCACGTGCACACGGCCACGAAAGCCACAATGAAGATCAGCACCACGCAGCAAACGACTAGCACAATCTGCCAAGTACTTAAAGTATTACTGTGTTCTGTATCGCATAATCAATGTGATGAGCGAAACGCACAAAAATATATCAAAGTAGTAGCCTACCTTCGCTGCTGCCGCCGTTGTTACCGGTATTATTGCGAACATCATCTAATGAGGTTGAATTAGTAGAATGAATAGATGGCGACGTGCTGTTTGAGGTCGTAATAGGTGATGGCGTTGACGCATCTGTAATCGTAAGGAGCGGGCGTAAGCACTTACTAGCAAAAAACTCTTCTTTTCCTCTTAATTACCTGGGATCGAGGGCGGCGCTGATGTGACAGGTGGAGGTGGTGTTATGATAGCTGGGGGTGAAGGTGCGGGTGTGATTGGAGCAGGCGTTGGTGTGTTGACTGCCGGTCCGCTAACATTTGTTGAAGACCCTGTCGAGAAGTCACAGGTCCCGCAATCTGTGCCGTATGTGCAAATTCCGTTCCCATCAATCGCAAAGCCGTAGACAACGCCCTGCGTCTTTTCATAGCATTGGCCGCAGCTGCAGCTGCCAAATCCTGTTCGAGCTCCCTGTTGTGATCCGCTGCAAGTGCAGCCAGGGGTACCACCAGGACCAAACCCCGTGAGCTCTGCTGTGTAGCAGATCTCAGCACACTTTACTGCGTCTACTGCTGTCAGCAGCGCGTATGATAAGGAACCTGAAGCCCAATAATGTTTGCTAAGCGAGGCTTCGACAACCTTATTTGAGAAGGTCCCAATGTTTGGGAGCAGTACCAAAAAGATAGGCCACACCTGCATATTTTCTGATGTGATCTAAGCAGCTGGGCGCGCTCGGAAGTTGTAAACAAGAAATAACGGATTGTTGTCATCCTCAAGTCTTGTTGTGCGCTGTCGCACGCTTACGCGTTTGACTTAGACATTTTTAGCCAGAAAATAGTACTAACATTTCTAATTATGAGTCTTGTTCGCATAGAAATATCCTGGACATGTAGACGCTTCCACGTCCAGCAATAAGCCAGTCACGAATTCTTTAAAAACACTTCTAGCGCTAGAGAGACTACTGGCATTTAAGCCTCGTTGATCTTTATGTCCGCAAAACATTGCTGACACACATACGCTGCACAATGTAGTTCGCGCGAATAGGCATTTTTATTACTATGCGCTGAACAAAGCTTCACCCACGTTGGCGATGGCATTTAAAAAGAGGATCAAAGATCAAATCAGCTGGCATAGTCATGAATCAAGCAAGGTCAATGCTATCACAGAACCAGTATTTTCACTGGCTCTGAGTTGATTAACGACATGATCAATTCTTTGACCAATCGAAGGGGTCAACTGGACCACATGATTGTGATGAAGCAGCAGCAAAGGCAACAACGGCGGATGAATTTGATGTTTGATAGCTTCCGCTTAATTACCGTTTTAATTTTGGGAGTGTGTCGAAGATTAAGTAACGTTAAGACGTAAGGTGACGCGTGGCTGCATGGTCAATTACGCAGCAACCTTACTGCACGAGCAAAAAAGCAAAAATGTATGCGCCCTGTGCCGACGGGAAGCTGCAGACGACGTTTCGAGCCATCAGCTTCCCACTCGTCGACGAATGATTCTTTCACATGCGCATAGCTTTTCTATTGAAAGAAAACTTTGACACTGATTTACTAGCCACAAAGGTTGTGACCATTCACTTGGCTCCTTCTTGAAACGGCAGTGCCACCCCGAGCAGTGTCTTTATCTGAACCTGAACATGTCCATCCATAAAAAAGGTATCCTCATTTTACAATCTATCAAACGCTCATCGTATTGAAGCCAATTTATCATGGGACTTTTTCGCAATTACATGGACGCGATGCTATCTGCCACCTTTTCTTCTTCACGTGATCCTTCATGTGGTAGCACCACGTTGCCCAAAAAGAGCAAAAAGAAACTCTTTTCTAAGTCAGTGCTAGAACCAGTACCATCGCCTACCGCTAAAGCACAAACGATCATCCAATCCCCACCCAAACGATTGTCAGAGTTGAAGATGATGGGCACCTTGGCACCAGCACTTTTTGGAGAAGTTTTGGTGTGTCTTGATACGAGAGTTGGGCGTTATATTGCCGTCAAGCGCGTCAATATGCGCTGCGCTGAAGCCCAATTGACCGTTGATCAACATATTCAGGTGGTCGAAAGTTTGCAGCAAGAGCGTGCTGTGCATCGCAGACTTGTAGCTGCCAAAACGACAAATTTGGTGCTACTGGAAGAAGAGGTACATTATGGTGGTCATCTGTACCTCATTTTTCCCTATTGCTCGGGCGGTGACTTGTTTAATGCAGTGCGTCGCAGTCCGATGAATGGTCGTTTATTCGAAGGAACTACACGTCGCTTCATGCGTCATATAGTGCGTGGTTTGCAATGCTTGAAACAAAATGGCCTGGCACACCGCGACATTTCATTGGAAAATATCTTGCTGGATACAGACAATGTCTGTCATATATGTGACTTTGGATTAGCCTCAGAGCATGGTAAATTGCTCGCCCCCGGTAGAGTGGGCAAAGTCTGGTACATGGCCCCTGAGGTTTTTGCTGTTCGAGAGCCGTACGACCCATTGTCAGCTGATATTTGGTCTCTCGGTGTGCTGCTTGCAATCATGTTAACAGGCGTCCCACTTGTGCGGAAACCCACAAATGATGACCGTCACTTTTGTGTCTTAAGTCATGGCGGTGGAGTGCGCGAGCTACGTCATATTTTTCCTTCCAAACTTTCGGAAAATGTTTGGGACCTTATGGACAAGCTGCTCACGATTGACCCACAAAGGCGTCCAACACTGGAACAAGTTGCCGAACACCCATTTTTGTCGTTAGACTACACCAACAGCGAAGTACAAAGTGGGTGGCCTTGATTATATAACAAGTCGTAGAGTTAGTTTATCATTGTGCTTATTCTCTCTTCATTTACCCATTAATATGGGAATTTATCACTACGTATGTCTCGATGCTGCTGGTTGCTGTGCTGACAAAAAAAGGAAAAAAGCTATAAACACTAGCGCGCGCCAGCCAAAGAATACCGTGAGTAGTGCGGCAACTGCCAAATAGATCTTTGGAATAGGCCTAGGTGACAAACCCAGGACTCCTGGAATGGTCACAGTGCCCTCTAGCCCGATCTGTCGTGCAAGCCCCTGGAGTGATGGGGCACCAGTGGCTGGTGGAGGCGCTCTAGCAGTTGGAGATGCATCTGGCCCAGAGGTATGCACGGATCCAAAGCGTCGACTGAGCTGCTGACTCGACTGTGGCTGCTGGCGTGCACGCACACGTGGGTCGTCGTCTGGGACGATCTCGCCGTTGATTATATGCACCATTTTCGCGTGTACGAATGATAAGTAATGTTTCTAATCTTATTTCATGAGCTCCGAATATCAAACTCTTTTAAAGTCACCATTTTATTATGCGCTGGCCAGAAATTTGTAGCTATCAATAATATGAAACATCACGACTTATTCAGTCGCTTATTGAGCGAAAGTGAGATGAAGGTACCCAAGATTACACTAGTTAGTGAGTAGAGACGCAATCCGAAGGTTGCAAAGGCAGAATGTATAAACATGTTCTAAGAACTTATAGATTGGATTCAAATAGTGATTTCTTAGAGAAACACACCGGAAAATTTAAATCCTAATAAACTACCACTTCAAAACTAGTTGATGGTACGATGCGAGACATGATCGTTGGCGTATTGCAGTCCTCGTTGACGTCGCCTGGCAGCGGCATCCGTATGTGTGGGACTGGCACCACGTACTCGAAATGCTGAAGGTATATTCGTCTGCCCTCGATAGTCAAAAGCCATAATCTTTTCGTGCATAAGAACATGAGCACCATCTCTGGCCAAAATGCTGCGACGATCAGCCGCGGAACTTGTTAATGAACCACGCCGCGACGAGGACGCAGCAGAAGATGATATACTCAAAGCCCGTGAAGATCTGTTCGTCACCGGATTGCTCAGTCGACGTTGAGATCCAGGTGATGAGACCTCGCTAAATGTTAACGTCAAGTCTTGACGCACATTTAGTACAACGGCAGCGATGTTGCTACTTGTAATGTAATGTGTTCCTTCTTTATCACTAATTTGTTGCACCGCTTGACAAATGGAATCATAAACAGCTCGCTCTCCTGCACGTCGCAGCAATAATCGAAGCATATCGATACATACAAGAGTCCGCACGTACGGCATTGACTGTTTCGAATCTTTGGCATCAGTGAGAGCTCCATGAACTTGTATGAGCTTGCAGTTTGTGATATCGTCAATTTGAAGCGCCAAGTGTTCAAGTTTACCACGCTGTAGATGCTTAAGCATTTCAGCAAACTTTTCGTCTGTCTTCCACTCTGCTAGATTTTGTTCGTCCATAATCAAAACCATTTCATCACTTGATAACTTGTTCGCCGATAATGAACCAATGATATTGGTCTCTTCATTGTCATTGTCTCTCTTATCAACTACTACTGACTCCGCCTTCAAAAGGCTACAATCAGTTATTGGCTTGCACGAAGGCCCAGGTCTACCGGCTGGAAGCTCATCCGATAGTATATTTTGATTTGCTGCTAAAAGCTCATTAGCAGAAACAACTGGATAAACGGTCGAAGTCGTTTCAGCTTTTTCTGTTGCCAAGATTGCATTAATATTACTGAGTTCATTCACCACAACATGAAGTTTTTCCTTCCGTGGGCAATTGCCTCCAAAGCTAGAGACCATCAAAGACTCTGCCACCGTATTCGACGGTACAATTATAGATGGAGCGGTAGATTGGACGTTGTCCGGCAACTGCGTAAGAGATTCCTGCACAGATTGACGATAATCTTCTTTGTTGTTGCTTTCTGAACAATCTATGTTTCTCCATCGTAAGTCGTCTCGTTGTTCTTCCGAGATTTCCATAAGACTCCAACACACTTGGAGCTTCAGTCGTTGCTCAACCAAACGTCGGCCATCGTTGCTCTATAATTAGATCATGTGGTCGCTTTGAGACGGCGAATAAATTCCGGAATACTTTCCAGCTTTTGCTTTACAATTGAGGGCAAAAACGCCGACATGCTGCTATTTGTAAGCAATTCAAAAACATCTTCTGTACCTTGATGGTCAGCATCATTTACCCATGACGGCCGGAATCGTAATTGAAGTCCACTTGCCACTAGAGTCAGCTGAGCTCCATCGAGAAATGTTACTCTTAAATCGCCCGTTGAATCGATACATCCACATCCAACACCTGAGATTTCAACCTGCTTGATAGACTTTTCAGTATATGGAGTACAGTTCACGTCTGCTGAATCATGGTTGCTTTTGTTCAAAAAAGATGTAGCGGGTGGGTGCGTCAGTAAGCTCAACCGGTATTGAAACGATGCTAGCAGTGATTCTGGAATGGTGTCATAATGAATATATGGCAATTTACTGGCCTGATTACGCAGTGCAATCTGGCGCAATTGCAAGATTCGCAAGGCAAGACACTGGCAAAATCGAACTAGCAGCGGCAATCTAACACGGTAGATGGTACGTGCAGTAATTGCTGAGTTGGAGCCACTTTGTGCTTTGTTCAGGCCTGGAATTTCGAAGCGAAGAAATTCACCCTCCGGTGTCGTGGCTGTAAGCACACCCATTCTTGGATCGTAGCATACTCGCCACCCATTCGACACGTCTAATTCAAACGTCGGTGTTTCACCAATCTCTGTCGGTTCCTTGCACCTCCACTGCAACTGTAGCTTTGTATCATCAGCATCGTCTTCACTTCGATTACAAATCCCGAAACATGAAATTGATTGCACTTGTAGATGCATAACAACTGATATGACCGAATGAGCACAGCTCGAGTCTTCAAAATGCGGAGTTGCGTCTGCTTGGCTCATATTGTCATTTCCTCTTCCCGACTCATTGTGATCGAAAGATTTTATTGACAGTAAAGACTCGGAAAGATTGTTAATGTCTTCATTGCTTGAACTGTCGTCATCGGGGCTAGAATTAGCACTACTCGACCCTGCAGATGTTGATTGACGCTGACAAATTTTTACCTTTCTTGAAACAGCGTGTCGAGGTCTGCGCTGTTTGCTGTTCTTATATCTGCGTCGCCTTGCCATTGCTAGAACGGGAGAGCTAGCAGATGATTCTTCATATTCCTCCCCTATGATGGAGCAATTTGGTGAAGCTTGACGGCTTTTACGTATTCTTTCAGGTAATCGAGACGCAGCACGAAGATTTGAAGGTACTCGTTGAGTTTCGCTTAAAAGGTGGTGTCTGAGACTCGATGAAGAAGACATCTTCTTTTGATAATGTTCACGAAGCCACGGATGGTGTGAAATTTGTTCAGCAGATGGACGACTGCGAGGGTCCTTCACCATCGTGCAAAAGCAGCACCAGTGAGAAGAAAAGATTATCAATTCATCGTACAATTATCAGCATACCGAAGTGAGTAAACGCTTAACTAAGTCAATTGCAGATGATGATAATCCGTCTGGGAACTGAAGTGGATTTTGACCTGCATTTGCCACATTTTCCAGCGTTTCACCGACTTTGCGTCCCTCAAACGGTGGCTTTCCAATTAACAAACAGTAGAGAATGCATCCTAGAGACCAAACATCCACTGCCTCGTCATAAGGTTCATTTTCCGCCATTAGCACCTCTGGTGCAATGAAGTTTGGTGTCCCACACATGGTTACATGATTGTCTCTACAACACACCAACAGTCAGCTTCAATATTCGTATCAAACCTCTTTAGATCTCACCCAAGTCTAGTTGCGAGGCCAAAATCAGAGATTTTCACCTCTCCTGTGTCACTAAGGAGCAAATTTGCGAGCTTTAAGTCTCTATGTATTACCCCACTGGCGTGTAAATACATGACGCCTGCTAAAGCTTGACGAAATATATTCTTGGCCATTTTTTCGTCCAGTTTTCGACTTGGAAGCGTCTTAACAACAGCGGCAATAGACCTCTGAGCGCAATATTCTAGGATCATGTAGTAGTTCCGAGCATCCTCAAAGACGCTCTCTACGTGCAGTACGTTGGGATGTCGAAGCTCAGCATGAAGTACCATCTCTTGACGAATTTTGTTCTCTAACTGTGCGCGACGAATAAGCAGCTTATCAATTACTTTGATAGCGACATTGGCCCCTGAAGTTTCGTGTTGAGCTAGATAGACTTGGGCAGTAGCTCCTTCGCCTAAGAACTCGAGTAACGTGTATTCCTGCAGTATAATTTGCACTGCATGAGATGAATACGTGATTCCAGGTTCAATGTTTCAGTTCACTTACTGAAATGGAGCGCGTAGATGTGTCGGGAACGTCTACCATTTAAACGAGGGCAAAAAAACGGAATTTACAGAGTGGCTGTTGTCATATTTTGTATCACAATAAGCATTTAGAATACTTTATTCAATTGTAGAACTCATTGCCATCTGTCGATTCACGAAGATTGTTGTTGAGGAATTTTCTGGTAATAGCAACTCTCGTCCGCATAGGAGACAGTAATGAAAGACTCACCAGATAAAGAATCGGCGAAAGAAAAGTCATATTAGTAATATACTTATAGTTTATAGATTGCAGCTTAGAATCTTTTGGCGTGGCTGAACGAACAGCAAGGACCTGAATGAAAGCCTGTAGATCGAAGGTCGTAAATGAAACCCGGAGTTTGCTGCGAGCTGGGAGGTCTAAGACGTACGTCAGTCCCGAAGGTTGATGATACGTTTTGACGATACTCTTTAAACGAGCTTTTCAGCATCAAATTCGGTCCTGGGCCAATGGTCTTGGCATAAAGTGGTAAACGAAGTGCAGTTCCTTGTCTTGGTGCAGAGGAATCTTGGCCCATAACAGGTGGCAAGTTATAGATTGGACCCGGGGATGGCGTCGAATTATCCCGCAAAGACGCGCGTGAGGCATTACTGAAAATAGAGGAAGCAGCCGATCGACTTTCTGAGCTCACTTGCTTGCCACATGACATGGCCGGTTCGTAAGAGCCCGGTCCTGCGCCCGGATTAGCTCTCTTTCGAGTAGAATCCCAATCTTCGCGCGAGCTGTTTCCAAAACTCTTCATTGAACTAGACCCAATGCTGGTTGGAATATCGTAGAAGACCTCCGAACTTGCTGCACCTGATTGCCATCGAAAGCGCTGCTCTGTGGGGATGAATGTGGCAATTGTGTGGTGTATTCCACGCTTGGACGGCGAATCAAATAGAGGCGGATGGGAACTGCCGCCCCCACTTGATCCAAAAACCGATCCAGCTTTTCTGATTTCTTGTGTCATCAGTTCGGAGGTGGTCGGCGTTTGAATTTTCATCTTCATTTTGAGCAGAGCATTATGACTCGATACAAAAGCTCCGATACTAAGCTTCTATTTTTACGTAATGAGGACGGGTGGGGTTGATGTTTTAGTTAAGCACAAATTTGAGAAATCTAATTGTATCTGAGATGTTCTTTGAAAGTGAATTGCCGGTTTGTTGTCTGACTAAGGTAAGATTGATTTAAGAAATCGAGAGACATATTGCAAAAGTGGTTCACTTTTTGCGACCACTTGCTCCCTAACTGGTATGGGACTCCTTCACTACCTCGCAATCAGATTTCGACCGAGTGTTGCAGAAGCCGTTTATTAGTACTATGTGGCCCGTGGTACTACTATCAGTGTCAACGAGATCGCTACTTGCTACGCAACTACATGATAAATTTGGTGTCAATGCGTGTAGCATGCGAGAGATGCGATCACGTCACTGTTGTTGGATCACGCACAAACGAAGCCAGACTTTACGAGTGATGGATTTGATCCTGTTGAGTAACTCGTACTTAGTTTCTTCTACTTAAGAAAAATGAATAGAATTAAGTTTAAGCTAGATTGATCACGGACAATGCTTTACGGACATCTTAATTCTCACTTTGGTATTTTTTTATTCAAAATTAATAATGTAATGGGTGTACTAGGGTATCTACCTCAACTCGATAATACGGAAACAATTAAAATATACGCAATTTGTGATATATACACATCAGGTGCAGCGGGGCTGACGCAGCTCTCTCGCTTTGAGGAAGATTGGTTAAGGTTAGTGAACTTAGTTCTATACTTAGAACCAGTACGAGTGTAGTGGATCCCAGTCCACTTACTCCAAGAGTAATTACAACCTTAACCCAAGGCTAATTAACTCTTCCGTTAAAAACGTAAACTGAATTTCTCGGTTTTATTTGCTGCAAAGCCATCAATAGCTATATATATAGGTTTCGTGTTTGAACAGTAAAACCTAATTAAACATATAACTACTGGCAGTCGGGCCACGTACTGGCTTGTTGTATAAGTGTAGCCACACCACTTTGTGGTCTCACCATATGTTATGACCCACACCCTTCACACCAGGACACGTGATAACCCGTTACACTCTCCCCCATCAAGATTGTGAACACCTACAGTTCCCATTCAACTGTCGCCTCGAACGAGGCTCGCGTGTCTAAGACACCAGGACTTACTTCACGAAATCTCTGTTCAATGATCCCTGTGTCGAGGACACGGAAGACGCCCAGCCTCACTGGTTTCGAGAACGCCCGCGGGCAGAGCCCTTCTTCGTCTCCTGCAAGTGGTGCAACTTCGGACAGCACGTCCGTGGCTTCAAGGGAAGCGCAGTCCAAGTTGTCGGTAACCGTGTACCGCGCAGCGCATTGTCAGCAACAGGGTTGCACGACCAAGAACACAGACGCGATGTCTACTCCCGGCCGCGCACCGCGCCCACCACGGGCGATGGATTGGGGATTGGAAGGAAGTCGACAACGGGTCAATTACTCCTTCCCCGAATCGGACGAAGAAGAGGGCGAGGTGCTCAAGCGGCGCAACGTGAGCCCTGCTCAGACCTTGCGGACGCCGTGCCCGATTCCAAAACTCTCGACTTCCGGGGGAAGTGGTGTCAATACCAATGACCTCGACGAGGCACAGAAGCAGCAGCTGGATGCTGTCCGCAGAGCGGCTCCTATGTGAAGCACATCCACAGTCGGTCCCTGACCCTCGTGTGTATAACGGCTTCCGCTTGGCGGATATCCTACAGAAGCGAAGGTCGCGATCACTCGATCGTTGAACGTCTATGTGATCGGGCCCCCGGCCACTACACAAGTCAAGCCTGACGATCGAAAAGCTCCTGCTTGGTTCCTCAAGAAATCCTGTGGATACGTACCGCAATCGAATTCGTGCTCGAAGAGGAAGCGCTCCTGTACCAACAATGCGGGCGATTTCCGTGGTGCTTGCCGCTGGCAAAACCGCTGCGGATGATGAAGAGCTTTTGACCGATGGGTGCAGCGGCACTGTCGCTGCACAATTTACAGTTGAGCCGCCGGGACATGGACGCGCGTGTCGAACGCCATCTTCGGTTTAAATTTGCCAAACTCATGGTGCGTCGCCGACCTCCTTCGGATTGTCGCCCTGCGACGTATGGGTTGGTCCCTCATGCTCCCGTGAGCTCTGTAGTACTATTGCCGAGAAGCGCGGGGTGTACGACGACGCGGAATGTCATGATTCCTCTTATCATAAGCGTCCACGACGTCTGAGCAGTCTTGCCGAAGTGGCACCTCAAACTCCCACAAGTTCTCAAAGCTGGGCATCCATAGGTTTGATCCCTGGTGACGAAATCGACCCACAAGACGTTCCACGTGATAGTGGACACCACCATTCTCGTCGAGAAAAGTTGGCGGCGGACGATGACGACTGGGTCGATCGCTGTCCGGTGACTCACTATGCTCTTTGAGCTCTTGAGGACGAGGACCGTCTCGATTGGAACTCCGCTGAGCATCATGCTGGGTTGCATACTGCCGTGCGGAAGACATAGAGTGCTTGGAGCACTGGTTGTTTAACCTTGAAGACTATCGCGCTTTGTCGGAGCAGCTTCTGGCCGTTGAGCTGACGAACGCATCGCTTCATGCAAAGGTAAAGCGCTTGGTAGGGTTTGAGCAAGCTTACACAAAACACGGGTGGATGCGCATCCTTCCCAGGAAGTTTAGCGTATACGCTAGGCCCCGCTTGACCAAAATTTTGAAAGGTCCGATGAATAGTGGACGGAGCTTCGTCTTAAAACAGCAAACATTGCATGGGTAAGAATCTTTTTGGCATTTAATAAAACCAGGTCTTTGATCTCAAACTTTCTAAAATTTTCTCTACCTCTTCCGTCTGCATATTCTCTCTGTATGTCTTGGCTTTCAGCCATCGCATCGCGAACGTGTCGTAAGACACTCAGTCTGATAGACAGGAATTTGTCGGTGATAAGGCTGACATCAGCTAGTCGCTCGGCTAATTCTCCTCCATTAAGCCTTGAACCATGGGATGGCGGCGTCAGCGGGACGCGAAGATGAACGAGCTCGCTTACGTAAAACGGCGTGCAGCCGGTAGACAAATGGACTGAATTGTTCAGAGCGAACTCCACGAGTGGCAGCATGGCGCTGCAGCGCCTTGGATTCTCGGTGTAGACGCCGCAATGGACGTCCTCGACGACGCAATTCACGCGCTCAGTTGACCATCGGTCTGTGGATGGTCCGCTGTTGACATATCCAGCTTGGTGCCCAGCACCTTGAAGATTGTAACCAAAGCTTCCCAGTGAAGCTTGAATCTCTGTCAGAGACAACAGACTCCGGGGCTCCATGTTGTTGAGAGACACGATTCACAACGTCGTCGCTGTTCTCAGTGTCCGGCACTGTCGCAAGATGAGCCATTTTGTTCAAACGATCGACGAAGACCAACACACCCGTGTTTCCCGCCAAGCAAAGTCCAAGCTCATGGACTGCGAACACCCGGGGGTAGCGGATTGCGATCCGCTACCTCCAGGAGTACCCAAAACCTTAACCAAGGCAAATAAATACGCCGTTTTGTTTAAAATTGAAACTGAATTTAATTGTTTTTTTTGGGGGCAGAGCCATCTATATCTGAAACCTTAGGTTTTCCTAATCAAATATTAATATGCATAACTACTGGCAGTCCTGCCACGTAGTGGCTTCTTGTTACAGTGTAGCCACATCGTTGTGTGATTACATCAACTTGCGCAACCCACGCCTTTGTATGGTCACACCATCTTGTGTGACCCACCCTTTCATACAAGGGTACGTGTAAGCCCGTTACACACCTGGTCATCCTCTGCGAGAGGTGAGGCGACTGATTCGCAGTACAGTGACGCATGATATCTGCATTCACGAATGGCTTTGAGCCGAGCAGGTGAACCTTGAAGTTGACAAGTGTATACCTCATTGCAAGTAATTCCCTTCGTGAATGGGTATTTTTTCTCCGCAGCCCTGAGCTGGCGAGATTCGAACGCAATCACCCGGTCTCACCCCTCGGCGTCTGCTTGCAGCAGTGCACAGCCGATGGCAAAGTTCGAAGCATCACAGACGATACTAATAGGACGTTCGAGGTCTGGCAACACCAGTATTGGTGCATGAAAGGGGCTGTCTTTGATCCTGTCAAAAGCCTTCCGATGCTTGGTGTCCCAACATCATTCCGTATCCTCCTTAACAAAACTCGACAGTGGCCGTGCCATTTCCGCACAATTTGTGCTATACTTGTGCAAGTAGTTGGCGAGGCTAAGTCACTTGCGCAAGTCCTTTTAATTCTTTGGAACCGGCCAGTCCACAATGGCCTTGACATTAGCGGGATCCGAAGGGCGCTCGAAGGCCACGCTATCCGATGAAGCACCTTAAACAGAGGATTCCCTCGGCGCCAAAGATGCACTTGTCTTTATGAGCATACGGCTTATGCGTGCGCATGAACTCAAGCACCGCTTCTAAATGGACAATGTGGTTCTATTATTCGCCCTTCCGTACCCCGCACGACTGTGGACGAAGATGTCGTTGAAGAATGTCTGTTCATACCTTCGGTGGGGCCCGGAAAACTGCGTCACAAGATAATTAAATGTTACTGGTGTATTTGACAACCCTTGGGGCATCACCAGTCACTCCCAGAGCATGCGGCTCAGAGTACTTACCGCTGTCAGCGGAAAACCAGTCGCTCTCATGAGCAATTGGTAATACCCATCGACCAAGGCGAGTGCACTGTACTTTGTACATCCAAACATGTTGTTCTGGAGAACACCCTTCCTAGGAATCGGCGTCTGTGCCGGAATGGCGGCAGCGTTAAGCTGATTGTACGCGTGAATGTTACGCCACTTGCCGTTCGGCTTCCGGACACAAAATGTGGGTGTCGAACGGGGAGACATGCTCTCACGCACCATTCCTGCGTCGTGCTTTGCATGGAAGAGACGTCAATGTCGTCGCACTCCTCCCTGGACAAGGGCCATTGGCGAGTTACGCAGCATTTGGTTCCTGGAACCAGGTGGATATCATGACGCACACCTCGGTCCGGAGGTAGGACCGACGGCGGGTCTCTGGAGACGACGTCTCGAAATTTCGTCACCAAAGGATAGTACGGATTCAAGGGATTCCGTAGGATCGATGATTCATTCCGTGCGTTCAGCACTCTCTTGGTGACTTCCAAGACAACTTCATCCAGAAGCGATGACGAGTTTATCTCCTCGTCCGGTGTACC